TTTGACCTTCTTTTTCGGCATTTTTTGTGTTTCTATTTTCGTTTTGGTTCCATTAACAACTTTTCCCTATCTATAGTTTCAAATGCCCTTTTGAAGTCTAAAAATATTGTAACAATGTATTCTCTCTCATTTATACTTCTTCTCCAGTCTTCCACCACCCTTTGGATTGCCGTTTCTGTGTAATATTTCTTTCTAAATCAATTTGACTTTTATCGTTTGGTTTTATTATAACTGTCTTTTCTGGTTATACTGCAGAAGTTACCAAATTTCTATTAGTGTTTGTATCTTTGACTATTACTCGGTGTTCTGCATGTGTTTCTGTTTTATTCTTGTCTGATTAGAGTGGGAACTTCAGTAACGTGAGTGTCTTTATCTAGATTTACTTCTTTTTCTTTACGGTACCTCATAGCATTTGTAAACGATTTAGTTCCATTTTTTTCTATTTGTTATTAACAAATCTTGTATGCGAATTGTATAATCCTTCATTTTTATCACACCTTCCACTTGAAATCCCATTTCATCTTCTTTTTCGGCATTTTTTGTGTTTCTATTTTCGTTTTGATTTCATTAACAACTTTTCCCTATCTATAGTCTCAAATGCCCTTTTGAAGTCTAAAAATATCGTTACAATATATTCTTTCTCATCCACACTTCTTCTCCAGTCTTCCACCACCATTTGGATTGCCCTTTCTGTGTAATATTTCTTTCTAAATCAATTTGACTTTTATCGTTAGGTTTTATTATAACTGTCTTTTCTGGTTGTACTGAAGAAGTAACCAAATTTCTATTAATGTTTGTACCTTTCACCATTACTCAGTGTTCTGCATGTGTTTCTGTTTTATCCGTGTTTGATAGAGTGAGAACTTCAGGAACGTCAGTGTCTTTATCTAGATTTACTTCTCTTTCTTTGCTGTACTTCACAGCATTTGCAAACGATTTGGTTCCATTTTTTTTCTAATTTGTTATCAACAAATCTTGTATGCGAATTGTATAATCCTTCATTATTATTACATCTTCCACTTGAAATACCATCTCATCTTCTTTTTCGGCATTTTTTGTGTTTCTATTTTCGTTTTGATTTTATTAACAACTTTTCCCTATCTATAGTCTCAAATGCCCTTTTGAAGTCTAAAAATATTGTTACAATGTATTATTTCTCATCTATACTTCTTCTCCAGTCTTCCACCACCATTTGGATTGCTGTTTCTGTGTAATATATATTTCTAAATCAATTTGACTTTTATTGTTTGGTTTTATTATAACTGTCTTCTCTGGTTGTACTGCAGAAGTAACCAAATTTCTATTGTGTCTTTGACTATTACTCGGTGTTCTGCATGTGTTTCTGTTTTATTCGTGTTTGATACAGTGGGAACTTCAGTAACGTCAGTGTCTTTATCTAGATTTACATCTTTTTCTTTGCTGTATTTCACAGCATTTGCAAACGATTTGGTCCCATTTTTTTTTCTATTTGTTATCAACAAATCTTGTATGCGAATTGTATAATCCTTCATTTTTATCACATCTTCCACTTGAAATCCCATTTCATCTTCTTTTTCGGCATTTTATGTGTTTCAATTTTGGTTTTAATTTCATTAACAACTTTTCCCTATCTATAGTGTCAAATGCCCTTTTGAAGTCAAAAAATATTAATACAATGTATTCTCTCTCATCTATAATTCTTCTCCAGTCTTCCACCACCATTTGGATTGCCGCTTCTGTGTAATATTTCTTTTTAAGTCAATTTGACTTTTATCGTTTGGTTTTATAATAACTGTCTTTTCTGGCTGTACTGCAGAAGTAACCAAATTTCTATTAATGTTTGTATCTTTGACTATTACTCAGTGTTCTGCATGTGTTTCTGTTTTATTCTTGTCTGATAGAGTGGGAACTTCAGTAACGTCAGTGTCTTTATCTAGATTTACTTCTTTTTCTTTGCTGTATTTCACAGCATTTGCAAACGATTTAGTTCCATTTTTTCTATTTGTTATCAACAAATCTTGTATGCGAATTGTATAATCCTTCATTTTTGTCAGATCTTCCACTTGAAATCTCATTTCATCTTCTTTTTCGGCATTTTTTTGTGTTTCTATTTTCGTTTTGATTTCATTAACAACTTTTCCCTACCTATAGTCCCAAATGCCCTTTTGAAGTCTAAATATATTGTTGCAACATATTCATTCTCATCTATAATTCTTCTACAGTCTTCCACCACCATTTGGATTGCCGTTTCTGTGTAATACTTCTTTCTAAATCAATTTGACTTTTATCGTTTGGTTTTATATTAACTGTCTTTTCTGGTTGTACTGCAGAAGTAACCAAATTTCTATTAATGTTTTTATCTTTGACTATTACTCGGTGTTCTGCATGTGTTTCTGTTTTATTCTTGTCTGATAGACTGGGAACTTCAGTAACGTCAGTGTCTTTATCTAGATTTACTTCTTTTTCTTTACTGCCTTTCACATCATTTGCAAACGATTTAGTTCAATTTTTTTTCTATTTTTTATCAACAAATCTTGTATCCGAATTGTATAATCCTTCATTTTTATTACATCTTCCACTTGAAATACCATTTCATCTTCTTTTTCGGCATTTTTCGTGTTTCTATTTTCGTTTTGATTTCATTAACATCTTTTTCCTATCTTTAGTCTCAAATGCCCTTTTGAAGTCTAAAAATATCGTTACAATATATTCTCTCTCATCTATACTTCTTCTCCAGTCTTCCACCACCATTTGGATTGCCGTTTCTGTGTAGTATTTCTTTCTAAATCAATTGGACTTTTATGGTTTGGTTTTATTATAACTGTCTTCTCTGGTTGTACTGCAAAAGTAACCAAATTTCTATTAATGTTTGTGTCTCTGTGTTCTGCATGTGTTTCTGTTTTATTCTTGTCTGCTAGAGTGGGAACTTCAGTAACGTCAGTGTCTTTATCTAGATTTACTTCTTTTTCTTTGCTGTATCTCACAGCATTTGCAAACGATTTGATTCCATTTTTTTCTATTTCTTATCAGCAAATCTTGTATGCGAATTGTATAATTCTTCATTTTGATCACATCTTCCACTTGAAATCCCATTTCATCTTCTTTTTCGGCATTTTTTGTGTTTCTGTTTTGGTTCTGATTTAATTAACAACTTTTCTCTATCTATAGTCTCAAATACCCTTTTGAAGTCTAAAAATATTGTTACAATGTATTCTCTCTCATCTATACCTCTTCTCCAGTCTTCCGCCACCATTTGGATTGCCGTTTCTGTGTAATATTTCTTTCTAAATCAATTTGACTTTTATCGTTTGGCTTTATTATAACTGTCTTTTCTGGTTGTATTGCAGAAGTAACCAAATTTCTATTAATGTTTGTATCTTTGACCATCACTCTGCATGTGTTTCTGTTTTATCCGTGTTTGATAGAGTGGGAACTTCAATAACGTTAGTGTCTTTATCTATATTTACTTCTTTTTCTTTGCTGTATTTCACAGCATTTGCAAACGATTTAGTTCCATTTTTTTCTATCTTTTATCGACAAATCTTGTATGCGAGTTGTATAATCCTTCATTTTTATTACATCTTCCACTTGAAATACCATTTCATCTTCTTTTTCGGCATTTTTTGTGTTTCTATTTTCGTTTTGATTTCATTAAGAACTTTTCCCTATCTATAGTCTCAAATGCCCTTTTGAAGTCTAAAAATTTCTATTAATGTTTGTATCTCTGTGTTCTGCATGTGTTTCTGTTTTATTCTTGTCTGCTAGAGTGGGAACTTCAGTAACGTCAGTGTCTTTATCTAGATTAACTTCTTTTTCTTTGCTGTATCTCACAGCATTTGCAAACGATTTGATTCCATTTTTTTCTATTTCTTATCAGCAAATCTTGTATGCGAATTGTATAATTCTTCATTTTTATCACATCTTCCACTTGAAATCCCATTTCATCTTCTTTTTCGGCATTTTTTGTGTTTCTATTTTCGTTTTGGTTTCATTAACAACTTTTCCCTATCTATAGTCTCAAATGCCCTTTTGAAGTCTAAAAATATTGTTACAATGTATTCTCTCTCATCTATACCTCTTCTCCAGTCTTCCGCCACCATTTGGATTGCCGTTTCTGTGTAATATTTCTTTCTAAATCAATTTGAGTTTTATCGTTTGGCTTTATTATAACTGTCTTTTCTGGTTGTATTGCAGAAGTAACCAAATTTCTATTAATGTTTGTATCTTTGACCATCACTCGGTGTTCTGCATGTGTTTCTGTTTTATCCGTGTTTGATAGAGTGGGAACTTCAATAACGTTAGTGTCTTTATCTATATTTACTTCTTTTTCTTCGCTGTATTTCACAGCATTTGCAAATGATTTAGTTCCATTTTTTTCTATCTTTTATCGACAAATCTTGTATGCGAGTTGTATAATCCTTCATTTTTATTACATCTTCCACTTGAAATACCATTTCATCTTCTTTTTCGGCATTTTTTGTGTTTCTATTTTCGTTTTGATTTCATTAAGAACTTTTCCCTATCTATAGTCTCAAATGCCCTTTTGAAGTCTAAAAATTTCTATTAATGTTTGTATCTCTGTGTTCTGCATGTGTTTCTGTTTTATTCTTGTCTGCTAGAGTGGGAACTTCAGTAACGTCACTGTCTTTATCTAGATTAACTTCTTTTTCTTTGCTGTATCTCACAGCATTTGCAAACGATTTGATTCCATTTTTTTCTATTTCTTATCAGCAAATCTTGTATGCGAATTGTATAATTCTTCATTTTTATCACATCTTCCACTTGAAATCCCATTTCATCTTCTTTTTCGGCATTTTTTGTGTTTCTATTTTCGTTTTGGTTTCATTAACAACTTTTCCCTATCTATAGTCTCAAATGCCCTTTTGAATTCTAAAAATATTGTTACAATATATTCATTCTCATCTATAATTCTTCTCCAGTCTTCCGCCACCATTTGGATTGCCGTTTCTGTGTAATATTTCTTTCTTAATCAATTTGACTTTTATGGTTTGGTTTTATTATAACTGTCTTATCTGGTTGTACTGCAGAAGTAACCAAATTTCTATTAATGTTTGTATCTTTGACTATTACTCGGTGTTCTGCATGTGTTTCTGTTTTATTCGTATTTGATACAGTGGGAACTTCAGTAACGTCAGTGTCTTTATCTAGATTTACTTCTTTTTCTTTGCTGTATTTCACAGCATTTGCAAACGATTTAGTTCCATTTTTTCTATTTGTTATCAACAAATCTTGTATGTGAATTGTATAATCCTTCATTTTTATCACATCTTCCATTTGATACCCCATTTCATCTTCTTTTTCGGCATTTTTTGTGTTTCTATTTTGGTTTTGATTTCACTAACTTTTCCCTATCTATAGTCTCAAATGCCCTTTTGAAGTCTAAAAATATTGTTACAATCTATTCTCTCTCATCTATACTTCTTCTCCAGTCTTCCACCACCATTTGGATTGCCGTTTCTGTATAATATTTCTCTCTAAGTCAATTTGACTTTTATCGTTTGGTTCTATTATAACTGTCTTTTCTGGTTGTACTGCAGAACTAACCAAATTTCTATTAATGATTGTTTCTTTGACTATTACTCGGTATTCTGCATGTGTTTCTGTTTTATCCGTGTTTGACAGAGTGGGAACCTCAGTAACGTCAGTGTCTTTATCTAGATTTACTTCCTTTTATTTGCTGTATTTCACAGCATTTGCAAGCGATTTAATTCCATTTTTGTCTATTTGTTATCAACAAATCTTGTATGTGAATTGTATAATCCTTCATTTTTATCACATCTTCCACTTGAATTCCCATTTCATATTCTTTGTGGCATTCTTTGTGTTTCTATTTTCGTTTTTGATTTCGTTTGGCATACCTTCTTTAATGTAGAGAACTGGGTCATCAGTGACAAAAAATTGTCAGTTATGTCACTGATCTACTTCTAACCGTTGATCTTCGAGAAACGACCCTGTTTCAGCGGCCGTTAGTTTAGAACCCTCCCCAATAATCTCCAGCTCTTCTCAGAAAGATGGCAATATAAGAAATTCTGTTCTTATACAGGGTGCGGCAGAGAGGATGGACGGTTTTAAAAAAATCATAAAATAGTTAATTTTTACTCGAAAACAAATTTATCGATGGAATCAGGTTCACAAGGAAATAGCATTTGAGACAGTCAAGTGTGGAAAATCACATCAGGCATGTGGTGGCCGAAATAGTTGATGCAGTGCTGGAGGCGTTCTTGGAAGTTCGAGTAGACTCTCTCCAACATCGCTCTCTCAACTTGGGCGACTTCCACGCGAATTTCGCCCTTCAATTCATCCAGAATTCGGGGCTTGTGGCTTGTGAAAGTGGGCTTCGTCACTCATAAACAAAATGAGGTTCTCATTTTGATCGATCAGTGCTTCCATCTCACGTGCGAAGTTCATTCGTTGTGCATAATTTCCGGGCTGTAACTGTTGCACAATGGCCAATTTGTAGGGGTGAAAGCGGAGATCCATATGCAAAATTCCCCTTACCGAACGATCACTAAGGCGAAGTGCAGTAGCATGTTTCCGGGCAGATCGAGTCGGACTTCGAAGAAAGACCCGTCGAACGCGTTCAAGATTTTCAGGAATTCGAACTGTTCGCGGCGCTCCTCTTGGTCTTCTGTTGATCAGTTCACCACGCCTGCGAAGTGATTCAACCCAACGAAGGATGGTGTTTCGAGAGGGAATAGCTCTATTCTGATGAATGTTGAAGTGGCGACGAAACAATCATAGGCGAAAACGCGGTGCTCCACCATAACGACAACAGGTAAAATAATGCTAGGATCTCACGAGTCAAAGGGCACCCTCCCCACCTCTCTCTTAGACGGAGGCGGAGAGTACTACCCATCCCAACAACGCCCGTCCTCTCTGCCGCACCCTGTACCAGGAGCAATTTCAATTCAATGAACTATATCGAGTGTTGATTTGGCACAATGCAAGTCAATTTACCGCCACTGATGCCGTAAACGGCGCTGCACGTAACCTGAAGGCTGGTCGATGATCTATCAGAGGCTAAAAATTGAACTGAGGAATTTGGCTGAGCGTAGATTCTGGTTACCTGTTTCATAGGAGTGATCTACAGATTTGGAATCTACGGTCTCATCTACAACCATTAAAATCCGAATGACGTATTTGGGACACCGGTTGAGTCACGAAGGGTATGTGTTCCAGGAAAAGACAAACGGGGAGCGTAGAATGGGAAGAAAGAAGAAAACCTGACCCTGCTACATTTAAGAATGGATTACGAAGGACTTTGCAATAGAGAGTGTTATCGCTAAAGTTGCTCGGACTCTACGCAATCATCCACATACATAACTTGTTTGAATCATAATTGGAATCAAGTACTTGAACGATGAACCATGCATAAGTGAACTCGGCTGACAACACTCCCTGTGCTGCCTTTCTAACGCGAAAAATTCACTGGTCTGACAAATATTGGCCACAGTGATTCTACTAGTGGTATAACTGCGGAGGAGGTGGCACCTAGGATTAAAATAAGTTGTTTACTTTAATGTCTTTTATCATCCGTTTCTTACTCCATTTTTCCGGAAGGCTGCTCCTCCGGTAGCGTCTCTCTATCCAAACGCTAATTAATGCCGGGTATATGAACACTAACGGCGCGCGTTCATTTCTCTTCGGCGCCGTCCTACCTTCCGTTCCGGAGCAGCTAAGGCGGAGTGCCGTATTTAGGATGACTAATGCTCTTTCCTAAGACCATTATCTCCATTAGGTGCGAGGCAGGCTAAGGAACAAAGGGGTAATTCGCCGAACGACTGAAGAGGTGAGCGCCGTCGGTAAACATGAAAATGCACTCGTCGATTACTATTTTAACGTGTTTGTCTGCGAAAATAGACCCGCTGCAGCGGGCGTCTCCCAAACGCGGAAGTGGGAATTTTCTGCCATATTTTGTGGCGTACCGCAGAGGGGTAAAGTTATAATCTAGCGCCGGAGGTGGGGAAACGCTGTTGAATAGTCAATTAGGGTAGTGGTTATGCGCATAAATCCTTTTTCTTGTAGATCGAAATAGACCAAAACCAATTTGAACTTGCCTCTTGTACTACATTTTTTCGTCTTGCATCAAATATACTAAGTGAAATATAAATCCGAACACCCAGTTTAAATGGTTTTATTTTAATAAAATTTTGTATAAGTACTTAATGAAGCATAATAAGTAAATGATAAAAATTTCAAAATGATTGCACTGCTTTAAAGCCCTTTGACCTTTAATAATGTGTGGATGCACCCTGATGTGCTACGCATTCTCCAACGCGCCTAGGCATGCTTCTGATCAGGTGGTCAATGTCGTCCTGTGGTATCTCATTCCAGGCAACCACCAACTCCTCTCGAAGTGCTTCTAGAGTCTGAGGAGGGCGTTGCAAATTGAGCAATCTCCTACCCATCATATCCCACACGTGCTCAATTGGGGATAAGTCGGGAGATCTTGGTGGCCATGGTAACAATGTGACATCATTATGTTGAAAGAAGTCTATTGTGACTCTTGCAACATGTGGTCGGGCATTATCTTGTTGGAAAGTTGGATCTACCAGGGTGTCAAGATAGGGTAAAAGATGGGGTTCTAGAACTTCGTGGATATAACGCTGCGTGTTCATGTTACCTCTGATGAAGATTAAAGGTGACCTGGAACCATAAGCTATAGCACGCCAAACCATAACTCCAACAGTGTGATGAACATGTCTTTCAACAAAAAACTGTGGATTCCTCCTTTCACCACGTCGCCTTCTAACCCTGGCACGGCCATCGTGCATGCCTAAACAAAATCGAGACTCGTCACTAAAGACAATACTGTTCCATTCCTGATTCCAGAGTGACCGTTGTCTGCACCACTCAAGGCGATTACGTCGGTGTTCTCGAGTTAAAAGGGAGGACCCAGTGTGGCCGGTATGAAAACAAGCCAAAACTTCTCATTCGTCGGTAAACACTTCGCATGCCAATAGGTCTTCCGTGTTCTGCAAACCATTCATTTGCAATGGACCTGGTAGTGGAAAAACGGTCCCTTAAGGCCAATAATCTTAGGCGGCGATCTTCACGGTCTGTTGTTCTACGGCGGCGTCCAGTGCCCCTTGATCTTTGCGTACGGCCTTCTCGAAGCCATGCCTGACAACACCTAACCACAGTGTCTATACTTCTTTGCACTCCACCTGCAATTGCCCGAAAAGAAAGTCCAGCTTCCCGAAGTCCCACTATACGGCCCCTATCAAACTCACTAAGTTGACGAAATCGTACAGGTCTCCGTACTCTAGGCATCGTAACCGATCGTAAAGGATGTCAAGAACCAAAATCCGCCAACGTTGATTCTAACATATACTGCGGCTGAAATATTCATTTTTAGAGCGTTAGTGCATTAAAAAAAAGCAGTATAAAAACCGGAATGTCCAACTGATAAGGCTGAAAATTTTTTCACTTGTTATTTACAGTAAGATAAATACATTCACCAACTTTTATTAAAATAAAACCATTTAAACTGGGTGTTCGGATTTATATGTCACTTAGTATATTTACGAATATCTGGTTGAAATGACTTCAGATATCCGGTATAAATGAACGCAATAGCTACTTAATACAAGCGTTCATTTCCATTCAGTCGATAAAACTGCATACAACAAAAAGTTGGCTCTAACTTGACAGTCGCTTGGTCAAGATACTTTGAAGGGAATTGCGTAACGTACCTCAAAATTTTTGCACAAAATTCATTGGCTTTAATTTTAACAAACACAAAATAATATCAAGTTGCCTTTGGGAATAAAAGTTTGCAAAAGCCATCAACAGTGTTATATTATTCAATGATTAAAAGTATGTTACGATCCAATAATGATGTAGACATTTCAAAATATTTCTACCTAATTACATTTCTGAAACAAAATGGCTATGGCAAAATAACTAGTTTTGCAGATGATACTGTAATATTAGATGAAGGCACTGACTGGTCTGATCTGAAAAATGTAATTGAAAATGATTTTATCAAAATTATTCGGTGGTTTAACAGTAGAAAATTAAGCATTAACTACTCTAAAACACATTTTTTACCATTTGGATCTTATGCTAGACATCTGCCAAATTACACAAATTTCTCCTTCAATATTAATGATCAAAAAATGCAAATTAATAGAGTGCCCAACATAAAATACCTTGGAGTGGTCTTGGATCCTCACTTACGATGGGACATCCATGTCAATTATATTTTAAAGAAAGTTAGATTTGTATCCTACAAAATTAAATACCTTGGGAATATATTGACAGAAAAATATCTTCGAACATCATACCATGCACTGTTTGAGCCTCATCTCACATATGGTATATTAGCATGGGGAGCTGCATGTTCCTCACATATCTATAATTTAGATGTTTTTCAAAAAAGTATTCTAAAAACGATATTTAAAAAACCGAAACTTTATCCCACTGAAAAATTATACGCAGATGTTAGAATGCATGATATAAGACAGCTTTATTTCTTACACAGTATCACTCACTACCATAAATTTGTAAACACCGACCAAAAAATTAAACATAATCATTATACCAGGTACAAAATTCGTGGCACAGTAGTTCCTCAACCGCATAAAACTATAATGTAGCGATCATATCTCTATTTAGCGCCTAAATTTTATGAAATTATACCTAAAGACTTAAAAGATTTACGTTTCGGAAATTTAAAAAAGTGGCTACATTCTATATCTAGGACTGAAATTCATAAACTCATGAATAAAACATCAACTAAATACATAATCTATTGTAGCTAATTTTTGTCCTTTTTTGTCATTTGCATTCTACAGTTTCAACTTAAATTATTGGTCCATGTACAGGCGATGCCTTCTATTGGGCCTGTTTTGATTTTATATTGTTTGTTATCTTTGTACATTGAGTGAATAAATATTATATTATTATTATTATTATATTATAAATCGTTTTTCTGATTGATCGAAATAGAGCAAAACCA